ACAGAAAAAAGTTTAACCAATCTTATACAAAGTTTGAAACCTTAAAATTTTTGCTCTAAAAATTATCTTCTACTTCTTTAAAGCTTTTTTCGATAAGCTTATAATCAATATCGACTGAGTATTTTTCTTTTATATTTTTAATAAGATCTTCTTATTTAGATTTTGACATGACTTTTAATCTATTCGGATCAATTCTTTTGCTCTTAAAAATTACGTTCCACCCTAAACGCAAAACAAGCATGAAGGAATGTTGTGCTACAATCATCTCATCCCTGATTCTTGCTTCTTCTTTTATAATGCCCAATGCTTCTTCTTTTATAATCTTATATACCTGTGTTTTAATTGTTTTACCTTTTACAAACAAACTATTCCATTCATTTGTATCAGGGTTTTGTCTCCATCTGCCTGTTTCTTGATCTTTCTCCTCAATAAATCTAGAAACCAAGAACTTATTATCTTTTTTTAGTTCTTTTACCTTTTTGTTAATTCATAGGAAATTTGTGCCAATTTATAAAGTGAATGAATATATTGAACCCTTCCATTATTAAAATTAGTTCCTCTGTCTGAATTTTTTTTGTAGATATTTCTGATTTGATATCTTATATCAACCTCCTTCTCGAAAGAATTATAAACATTATTTATTGTATGCAAAGAACACTCCTCAAATCTTTTCTAGATTTTTTCAAAAAGTTTATCAATTGGTTTATCACTGATCATTATTGGATTTGGGATACCTTCGATTTGAATATCGAAGTATTTATTGGTTATATATATTATTTATTTAATAATAAAATATATTTATTTTATTCAGAATTTTTGAATTCCTTACTTGAGAATCTGTTTTCCAATTATTGTCAGAACTGTCAATCTACATAGATGATTTCTTTTTAACTTGATGATATTAATATTTTATAAAAATTAATAATTTACATAAAAAGTATCTGAACAGTATTAATATCTAATGGGATTACTTGAGAATTATCTATTTTATTCTTTTAATAAATAAGAAAATATTAATTAATATGCATATTGTATATACTAGATCATACTTCAGTATTTTTAATATATTTATCATTTGTAATTCTTATAATTAGTAAAATAGAAGTTCTATTTTCACCTGGAATAAAGTCACCCAATAACTTAAAATAACAATATTGGTAATATTTTGGTGACTTTAACCTGAATAAAAATAGAATTTCTCTTAGTAAAAGTTTAAATAAATTGTATAAGCATTGCGAGTACTAAACTATTGTTCGTAATATTTAATTTAAATAAGTGATTATATACTTACTGAACTATCTTCATTAACTATCTCCCTATTAGATTGTTTATGCTGTGTTATGATTAGACTGATTTGTTTATCAGAAATATTATCTTGAAGAGAAATTGAACTTTGAGAACTGTCCAGTTATGTGAATAATTTTTTTTTTAATTTGATAACTTTAGTTAAACTTAATTACGCTATATATTTTTTAATTTTTGAAAATTTGATTATAAATTCTTACTTTAACATCCGATTGCACACTTTTTGCTTTATCTATCTGCTTTTAAAAATAACAAATGAATAATATAGAATAATAGAATTTGTAATCACACTAGAGGTTATCTGACTACTACTAAAATATTCATCTATTTCTTCGTTTTCTATAATAACAATTGGAAAATTGGCACTTTCTACTCTATCTTCAATTGAGTTATTTGTAGAGCTACTATTATATGTAGTTGACTTTTCTATAATTATTTGATATTTTTCTTATAACGATAAACAAAAATTTTATAAAATAATATTCATAAATAATTGTAATATATACTGCTCAAAGGAAAGTCTTGCCTTTTTTTTTGTGGTTCGTTATCCTTTTTTTATTGTGGTTCGTTATCTTTTTCTTTGAAAATTTTATATTTTAGCTATCTTCAGTGCTAGAATCCGAAATATCCGGTTGTTTTTTATATTTTTTCTTTAATCTTTTATTTTTTTTTATGTTTTGATTGTCAAGTTCATATATTTTACGTTTCGGTTTCTCTGAATTTTCAGTAATATCAAAGTTCTCTTCCTGTTAAGTTTTTTTTGACAATAATCTATATTAATAATTTTATTTTTGAAATTTATTAATCAACTAGTTAAATTCTTACATAATCATTATCTTGAATCGATCCAATATCATCTGCTTGTGTACTATTTTCTGCTAGGGTCATTTGTTTAAGCATTCCTGAGATAAAATTGATTGATGGCTGTTTATCCATTTCTCTATTATTTTCAGCTTGCTTAAGTTTGTGATTTGTCAATGATAAATTAGATTTTTAGGTTAACTTAGTTACAGGAAGCTTTCGAATTCTCTTAATGAATTTTTTTTACCTGATTGTCAGTAGCATATTCATTTTCAAGGGAAATTTGATTATCGGTGCTAACCGTTTATGAAGTATTGACTGCAATATTAATTTGTGAATAAGAATCATATAATAATTCATCAACTTCCTCGTCACTGAGCATAGATTCAATCGATTTTCTATTATTTTTAGCTTGCTTAAGTTGGTGATTTGTAAATGATAAATTAGATTTTTAGATTAACTTAATTACAGGAAATTATCAAATTCTTTTAATAAAAATTTCTTACCTGATTATCAGTAACGTATTTGTTATCAATTGAAATTTAATTATCGATGCCAACTGCTTGTGAAGTAATGATAGTAATATTGATTGATGAATAAGAGTTAGGTAATAAGGTATCAGTTTCCTCACCAAACTCTGGATCATTTGATGTTTGTAAAAGGTTCACCATCTTATTAGACCTTTGAAGCCCACCACATTCATGCTCTAATCACAATAGAAGATACAGTATATTAATTTACTGTTTGAAATACTTTGTTTTAGAAAAAATATCTAATTACATACCATCGAGATCAGCATTAGACGATTCAAACAGAGAATATTCCATTCATTCTTTTTCGTTCTTGTTTGATATTCAGCATTCCAATAAACAATATTTTTGCAGAGATAAGGAATAAATGTATATTTTAAAAATCGAAAAAAGTAAATTCAATTATTATTACTAACAATTGTATTATCTTGCTGGTTCATTTGAATATCTTTCACTTCATCACATTTATCTCCCACTGTTAATTCATTTACTTTATTACTAGTATTTTCTTAAATATTATTGGCAACTAACGATTGGTTCTAAAATTTTTAAGCTTTAAATATTTATACTATTTAACTTAATAAACTAGAACACTTAAATTTCATAGTTACCAATGCTTCATTCATACTTTTCAGGGGACTATCCTCTATCAAGTTTGAAGAAACTCGTCCATCATTAACCTTTTAGTTAATACAATTGTTTAAGTAATCGGTATTATAATGTTTGGTTGATTGGAGTTTATATACCTTATCAAATCGTTCATTTGTCTTAACTTCTTTGCAGCTTTAAACTTCGTATTTATTTTGAACTAATGCCTGTACTTGTTTCTTTTGCATTATGCAACAAAGTTAAAGCTGCATCAAAATTCCACTCATCATTTTCTTCATCAGAGTTAAAATATTCATCTGAAAGAGAGTCAGCACATTGTATGGGTATGAGATCGATAGAATCATTAGAGATCTGATTATTTATCGATAAAGTACTATCTGCCTCAACATCGAAGCTAGAATTTTGTGCACTTTCTTGAATGACTATTTCAGTTAACAAATTACTAGATTCCTTCATAAGATTTTTGCCTTATTAGTTCCTATATATGACAAAACTTAAAAGATAATTGTAATTACCTCTTCGTTATCGATTGCAATTTTCTTTCCATTCTGTTTGTTAACTCTTAAAATTTTTATGAAGTTTTCTCTAGTAATGAGGACTACCTTTGGTGCTTCTAAATTTAACATTTTGGAATCCACATTGATCAAGTTAAAGGTAACTGTGAATAATAGATTTTTATTAAAGTAACTGAAATTATTTTTCCTTCAGTTGCTTTCTACAAAATATCGAAGCAATATTTTATAAATTTGTCTCTATTATCCACTGTCTTAATCATTTTTAAATTTTTTTTAAAAAAATAGAGAATATGAATCTACTTGAACTGTAATATTTATAAATGTTTTTTTAAATGACATGATCATATTTTTAACTAATTTTTAATATGACTAACTCAAAAGTATTCTATTTGATTATTATTACGATATAATGACCTATGAGTGATGCACAGGAAAACTTGTAAGTAAATTTTATTTGAATAAAATATTATAGGTTTTCAATATCTGGAACCTTGACACAAAAAGATCAATGAAAAAATTGCCAAAGAAAAAAAAGATTCAGAAAGATTAATCAACAAACTGTTGAAGCTATAGCAGCTTCAGAGCCAATATCCTGCTCAAGAAGGTTATTTGCTGCCATGGTATTGTGGTCCAAAAAAACTTGCTCAAAAAAAAAGATGTTACAAATTAACTAACGAGCTGCTGAAGCATATAGCTTCAGAGCCGATATCCTGCTCAAGAAGGTTAATTGTCGCAATACCGAAATAATCCAACCAGAATTAACTTAAAAGTTCATTTTAAATTTTCTTCATTCCTGTGTATATATCTCTGTGCATGTGTGTATGTTATAAAAAAAAGATGCTATAAAGGAAAGTAATTTTTTTTCTTTTAATTAATAAGAAAAAAAAGTAGGTCATTTATAGTATTTTATGTTCGTAAAAGAAAAAAAAGTCCAAAAAAAAACCAGAATTACCTGCTTTCTTATTTTAGTTAACAATTAAGGCATAAATAGAAAAGCCCAAAACCGTACTTAACATTAACTAAAATGGTTTTACCAATTTACTTATATAGTGCATGATCTTTACAAAATGCAAAAGCTATTTTCCTATCCTTCACCAGTAAAGTGATTTATATTTTACAATTTTTCTTATTTAATTTATTTATTATTAATGTCGCAGAATCATCTCAATTTAATTTCTTATTCTGAACAAATCTATAGTGAGTAATAGAAAAATTTGTCCCAATATTTTATTATTTCAGGATTTGAGGTCTTTCTTATCAATTTGATAAAAAAGTATAAAGTTTATTATAAACAGAATTGATAATAGATATTGTTAATGGTGGGATAAATTATTTGAGATAATGTTTTGATAATAAGAAATTAAATATTATTCCAAAAAATATCACATGTTCTTTTAAAAAAATAATAAGGCAGACTTAAAGAAATTGATAAAACAAATTATTGTGAGGAATGCTTTGATATTAGTAAAATAGACAATCCAAATTTTTTAATCATGACAGAATTATAAAGCTTCTGAAAACATATTATACGTTTGGTTATTTAGATATAATGATGATAAAGTTGAAGAGATAATCTTTAATTATATCTATTATTAATTATTTTATTTATTATCAGGAAGACATATACGTATACATGTTAATATTTATAGTTTCACATATTCTACAAGAAACACCAATGAAATGTTATAAAAAGAAAGTCTAGATGTTAGTGTCAAAGTTTAAACGTCATTCATTAAAGAAAGTTATAGTTTATTGAATTAGACTTCCTGGCATCAAAATTAATTAATAACCAATGTAAAAATAGATTCTCTAAATATTTTACATGTAAAAATTAAATAAATAATCGATTTTTTTTAACCGGATAATTTTTTTTTGTACTTGATGAATATAAACAAATATTCGAATTTTTAAAAATCGAATCCAATATTTATTTTATCAGGAGTTATGTCAAACCAATAATTGAATAATTTAAAATAATATGAAATATATAATGTTTATGAGCTATTTATATCAATTTACTAGCAAGTTTTATAAAAGTTTTTCTTTGAACATGTTCGATATTAAAATAAATCATTCTATAAGAACCCAATTAGAATTCGTTTTATAGTTATAAACTTATTGTGAAGAAGCAACTTATATATCCAAGTCAAAAGTAGTGTATATATTTCACCAGAAACAAAATTTGCTGCTGTTGTCAGTATTTCAACAATACCAAAGCATACAAAATTCTACAGTTATTATCCAAAGTACGGGGAATTTCTATAGAAAATTTTCCCCAAGTAAACTAATGTGTGAACCATTACAAAAGTATGCATCATCAGTAATATATAAATCCAAGCCTATCTTCTCTTGGACCAAAATTATGCTTACCAAAATTACAAATTAATTCTACCAAAATGATGTTTACCAGAGTTATGAATTATGTTTACCAGAGTTACGAATCAATATTTATAAAAATTAATCTAATAATTGAGTTAACGATAATCATAAAACTCTTGTGTAAACTAAAAATCAAAAAATCAGGCTCTTACATTTCTTAACGTTGAATAAATAAAGTTTAAAAACTATAATCATTATCTAATGACTATATCAAAATTTGCAAAACGAACCCACTTTCAATTTTTTAAGGAGAATGAAATTTCTACATAGAATTTGTATAATTTCTTACTTTATCGTATCAAGCAACAAGATTTTGTGGTAGATCTGCCACTAGAAAATGGTCATTATGCAAGCTTTTTAGGATATTTTAAAAATGAACATGGTGATGAAGGAGATTTTCTTCTAAAGCAATATAAGGTAAATTGAAACTTATATAGAATATAACCAATATCTGTATTATATTTCACAGTTTAAGTCCTTAAAAAAACATGACATCTGCAAGAGTGAAGATCCTATGGGAAGTTATTTTTGGAAATGATGCAAAAGAACTTCAATTAGTTTTTGAAACTGTATTAACCCTAAAGAACAATTATTTACAATTTAAAGGCATCACGGTAATTAAAATAATTGTATTTTTCTTTTCAACAAATTTAGCAAACTTTATTTTTGTTTTACTTAGAATGACAAGGTTTCGTTAGCGAGTCGGCAATATCTCTATGAACTATTTATTGATCATATAAACTCGGTAGAATATAATAATGACATCAAATACTTTGAGTAAATAAATTATATTTATATATGTATTTTATTAATAGTTACTAATCGTTGTTACTAATCGTTGTTATCAATTTATAGTTCTATTAAAAGTAGCATAATATGCGTAGATATTCTGAACCCTCAATTAAAAGAAAAATTGTCAAAAAATGACTTGGATGATTTATCAGAAAAATTATCCATTCCAATCAATGTTTCTAATGCTTTATATGTAAAGAGCTATGTAGATGATATTCTAAATTGATATACTGGTTTAAATACTGCACCATTACACAATAATTCAAAAAAGTCAGAAATTTCTCCAAATTGTAGTCATGAAGAAAAAATACAATGTGAAATATATCAAACTATTTTGAACCATATGTAAGTAAATAGTCGATTCATTATATATGGTAGTTTATTTAGTTGTTTAATTTGAAATTCTCATTTGTAGGGAACAAACTATCTGGTCAAATTCATATAATGTAGACAAGATTAGTGAACAACAATACATATCTGATACAATTTATAGTTTCATATTCAGATCAATAAGGCATATTAATGATAACCTTTATACATTATTGTAAGCATGAATATATTTTAATTAGTTGCTATTTTTATTTTTATTTTTTTATTTAATTGATGTATACTTAATAATAGTGGTAAAATAATATCTACTGGATCCACTCAAAGAAAACGGCTTTATAAATTACTTGGATTAAATAAGAAGAAAAGTGCAATAGGTTGCTATTGTGATTTAATTTTATGTGATTAATATGATTATGTATATTTGGTTGGTGAAGTGAGTAGACCACTCTCAAAAAAACTTTCAAATAAAGAAAGATTTGATCTTGGTAGAAACAATCACAATGCCAAAGATGAAAAAAGCTTATGCAAACTGGCTATAATTGCAGAGTTTGGACCAATTTTAGAGGAATCAGATTTAGATATTCTGTTAAATGAATTATATGTATTCATGATTCAAGTAAAAAGTAAGCATTGTTTTGCTAAGTTTATTTATTTATTTATAATAATAATCATTAATATTTATGCAGAGAAGACAATAGAAACATCTGTTCTTGATTATATGATGCAACAAATTTATTATTCAAGGCTTCTAAACCGGACTGAGATCCCTTTAAACAAAAAGATTATGGATAAAGTAAATTTTCTACAATTTTTATTCACTGTTTATGAATTAATCATGAGTATTTATTAACGTCAATGAGACATTATATTTAAGATTTCTAACAATGTAATTTAAGGCTTCCATGATTAGGTTGCTATTGCTGAAAATGCAAATAAAATAGACAAGTTGATGAACAAGCTTTCAAGAAAGAAGCAAGAATGGAAGGCCAATAACTTTGACTCTTTGACAATAAGTGATGCTGGAAAAAAATTAGTCTTATCACAAGCAATTACTTTATTAACTCCATCATCTTTACCATCAAGTGATGACACACCTGATTCTCTAAAAGCATCAATAGTAAATTTATTGGATTTTTTTATTACTTCGGCATGAGCAAAAGAAACTCTTAGAGAAATAAACTCTTTATGTACTTTAAAACATATTTTTGCAACCGACACCATTCTTCATATACCAGAACATTTGCTAATAAGTGCTAATGATGATGATTCAATTCCTGATATTAAAATTTGAGTCTTTTTTAATTATAAAAAATGTTGTTAATCCTGAATTTCTATTATTAATAGATTAGAAAGATTAACAACACGGCTTATAATTAGAAATAAATTAATGAGTTGAAGTATAAATTATTATGAAAAAGATTGTTAGCCCGGATAAATTTATTTTTTTAAATAGTTTTGAAATGCCAACAGTCTAGCTCATAATAAAAAGTGCTATCAACTGTGCAATTAGATATTGTGATTTTAAATTGTTATTAATATAATATAAACGCACACTATTTTATACTACTACATTCATGTTAATTGTAAAAAGCATTTATATTTACTTGTAATGAATTTAACAAATTTTGAAAGTTTAAGTGTTTTAGTATGAAATATCTATGTTATCAGAATTTTAACTCAAATTATTAAAAGATATGTGATTGCAAATTAGTTTTAAAACTTTTATTTTAAAAAATTTACTGGGTTAAAAAAATTACTTTTGAATTTAATATAAGTTTGTGAACCCCATATTGTATAAAAAATAAACTTATATCGTTATGCCAAATATTAATTCAGCTAAAAATTTGTTGAAGAAATTTAATATGAGAGCAAAATACAAGAAAACTTTTCTGAAAAATAATATTAAACACGTGAGTATTTGAATTAATACCATTGAGTAGATTTATTTATAAGATATTGATGTAGTAAGAATAGATATAATATCCTAGGGTCTAGGTTATATTGAAGCAATTCAATGTTGACCTTGTTCATATCTGAATGTAGTTTTATTAAATAAATCTTATCTATTTTATTTTTTTTAGTTCAAATGGTTTCTTTTTTGATGATTTCATAGATACACTAGAATAATTTTATAATTTTACATCATTAAACCATGAGCCAAAATAATACAATTCATTAAAAAAGGTAGTACATCTTAACTCAGTTCATTTTCTGATGGTATCAAGATGCCGTCAGAGAATAAAATAAGTTCGAAATTATAGAAAATTATTTGATATGACTTTTCTTGTGTTAAAATAAAAGAGTAGGTTTATATTTTTCTAAGCTAACTTAAAGATAATCATTCAGAAAAGATCATATAATTAAAACACATATGAGACGTATATAGGAAATACCGTATTATCTCGAAATAACTCCCCCAAGACATAATTTAAATATTTTGGCCTACATTAAGCTTAATTTAGACCAATTTAAACTTAATGTAGGCCAAAATATTAGATTATATCCTAAGGCATTATTTCGAGATGATATGTAATGATGGATCGGCCCATTATTATTTTTGATCTAAAATTGGTCTTACAATAACGATAAGAATGCGTTTTGTAGCTTACTTGATAATAAAAACTCTTATCGTTATATTTTATTAATATGATATATATGTGTATATATATTAAATATTCATTATAAAAAATCGATGGTTTCTCAGATTTATTTGTTTTAAATGAGACACAATAACAACTAGACATATATTTGAACTTTTGAAGATCTCACCAAATTTTTATTGAATTTTATATTAGATATCATTTGAGTACCAATAGAGATGTGAACCGAATATTGAACAGATAATATAAATAATCTGAGTTATTTTAAACCGGTAAATATCCATAGATTCAAAGTAACCAGTAGATTATTTATATTATTTAAAAATTTACGGGTCACATCACTAAGCGTCGGCAAGGAAAAACCTCAAGTAGCTATTATTTCTGATTTGAAGTTTTCTCTTGCTGACACTAATTCGGTATTGATATTAATTGAACGATATGATATGTATGTTCAAATATATTAGACAAGAAAATAACAATTCTTTAAACTAGCAAATTCATTTAACAAACTGAATTAAAAGAATTAGGTATAATTTAATAAACTAGATGCGTTAGTTTGATATTCTTTACTTTTTACTTGTTCTTCATTATCAAAATCTATCGATTAGATTTGTAGTAAACAATAGCTTTTATTCATTATACAGAAATGTTGATTACGAGACCTTATCTCTGCCAATGTTAAGGCAGAGATGAATCATGTAAATCGACCTATAAGATTCATATTGAATAAATTTTGATCTGATGCAAGATATTGACATTAGGCAGAAGTATAGTTTAATTTGGGCAGAGTTCAAATATATAGAATTAGTTTAATTTTTGCAGAATTAGAGTTTAATTTGGGCAGAAATCAAAATATAAATTGAGCAAAATTAGAGTATAAATTTAGGCAGAATTAGGTTTAATTTAGGCAGAATTAGGTTTAATTTAGGCTTGGGTTGAGATAACTTACCTTAAGTTACATTGTAAGTTACATCTTTTCATTTAAGTTACAAATATAAATCATTAATGCTGCCAAAATTACAATAAAGCAGGCTAGCATTAAACCAATTTTTTTTAATAAAGCTACTACCAGAATCAGTAATTATACCAAATCCATATCTTAAAAATAAAACTTACCGTTATGTCAGTTAAAATACGTAAGTTACCCAACCCTAATTTGGATAATTATAATATAAATTAAAGTAGTATTTAATTTGGGCAGAATTTGAATATAAATTTGTGCAGAATTAGAGTATTAATTTAGGCAAAATTAATTAAAGTATAAACTTGGGAATATAAATTTGGCAAAATTAGAGACCCTAATTTTGAGCAGAATTCGATATAAGTTTGTGGCAGAATTGGAATCTAAATTTGGGAAGAATTAAAATATAGATTTGGCGTAAAATTAGAGTATAAGCATCGAATATAAATTTGGATAAAATTTGTGCAAAATTACAGTATAAATTTTGACATAACATTAGCAGTTAAGACACCAACAAACTCGTACTAATAAATATTTTAAAGTATAATAAAAATTTAGATTATGGGTGTACCTTATAAACTTGATAGTTTCTTAAATTACATTAGTTAATACTCTTTGTCATACATTATATTAATATAAAAAATCTATTACATAATCATGACGATTTCTAAAATATGTAGTTTAAAATTTTCTTATACAAATTTTTCGCTTCGAGAGGTGAACAAAAAGGTGATTTAATATATACTCTCTCGTAAAAAAAACATAAATCATATTGTTATTCTATATTATTAACTTTATACAAATACAAGGGCGGATTATAAAAGTATTCTTTTTTGAGCTAATCAATAATATTTAGTTGGACATTTTAAACTTCAAAAAAATTTTTAAAGCTTGAAAAATA